CCAGCTCAAACAAGAAGAATCCTTGCTGGATGCCCACCAACACATGCATTCTCCTTTTTATTCTGAGAGGCTTCAGCTCAAACAAAAGTCACAAGGTGAAGGGCTATTCCAAGTTCTCAACAGACATAATCCTTGCTTGGTCTTAAAAAAAAAAAAATAGAGGTGTGTAATTCCTTATTTATATTTTTAAAATATATTTTGTTGATTTTGCTATTACAGTTGTCCCGATTTTCCCCCTCTGCCCCCTCTGCCTGGTACCCTCATTCCTTTCAGCAATCCCCCCCTTAGTTCATGTCCATGGGTCATGCATATAAGTTCTTTGACTACTCCATTTCTTACACTGTTATACTGTTCTTAACATCTCCCTGTCTGTTTTGTACCTACCAATCTGTGCCTCTTAATCCCTCCATGTTTTCTCCTATTCTCCTCCTTCCCCCTCCCGGCTGATAACCCTCCAAATTATCTGCATATCTATTGATTCTTTTCCTGTTCTGCTTGTTTGCTTAATTTGTTTTTTCAATTCAGTTGTTGATAGTTGTGCATTTGTTGCCATTTTAATGCTCATAGTTTTGGTTTTCTTTTTCTTATATAGTTCCCTTTAGCATTTCATATAACAATGGCTTGGTAATGATGAACTCCTTTAGTTTTACCTGGTCTCGGAAGCACTTTATCGGTCCTTCAATCCTAAATGATAACTTTGCTGGATAGAGTAATCTAGGTGTAGGTCCTTGCTTTTTATCACTTTGAATACTTCTTGTCAGTCCCTTCTTGCCTGCAAAGTTTCTGTTGAGATATCAGCTGACAGTCCTGTGGGAACTCCTTTGTAGGTAACTCTCTGCTTTGCTCTTGCTGCTCTTAAGATTCTCTCTTTACCTTTAACCTTTGGCATTTTAATGATGATGTGTGTTGGTGTCCTCTTTGGGTCCAACTTGTTTGGGACCCTCTGTGCTTCCTGGACTTGTATGTCTATTTCCTTCATCAAATTAGGAAAGTTTTCTTTCATTATTTTTTGAAATAAGTTTTCAATTTTTTGCTCTTCCTCTTCTCCTTTTGGCACCCCTATGATCCAGATGTTGGTACATTTGGAGATGTCCCAGAGTCTCCTTATTCTATTCTCGTTGTTTTTTTTAATTCTTTTTTTCTTCTTGCTGTTCTGATTGAATGCTTCTTTTCTTCCTTATGTTCAAAATCGTTGATTTGAATCCCAGCTTCATCCCCTCCACTGTTGGTTCCCTGTGGAGTTTTCTCTCTTTTACTTAATGCAACCTTCATTTCTTCCTGGGTCTTTTTTATGCTCCTTTAGTACCCAGTGATTTCTTTGAGCATCCTGATAACCAGTGTTTTGAACCCTGCATCTGATAGGTTGCTCATCTCCATTTCATTTAGTTCTTTTCCTGGAGTTTTGTTTTGTTCTTTCATTTGGGCCATATTCGTTTGTCTCCTCAATTTGGCAGCCTCCCTGTTTGTTTCTGTGTATTAGGTAGAGTGACTTTGACTCCCTGTCTTAGTAATGTGGCCTGTTGTGGAAAAGGCACCCATCTGGATGAATGTGGCTTCTTTAAATCCTTGGTTGTTGGACTTCCATACAGCTTGATCTTCTGACAAATCTGGGTGGTGTTTGTATTGTAGTTTAGGTGTAATTTTTGCTGAAGTTGTGCACAGAGGCGAAGCGTGTTTACCATGCTTCCATCTTGGCTGAAGTCTCTTAATCTATATAGAGCCTAAGTGAGGTGTTCTTTCCCCGAGGTCGGTGGGCTCTCAAGCTATCTTCTAACTGAAGATTTTCACTAATTTCTAACTGAAACGTAGCATTTTCCTGCCCACGGGCAGCTGGGTGGTACAGTCAGTGGCCCTTTGAACACACAGTGCCACAGCACAGGTCTGTAATTCTTTTTTTGAACATACTCTGAAATGAGTATCTTTGACATAATTTAGTGCCCACTGGTGATCCATTAGCTCCAGAACTTGGCACTTTGTCTTAAAAGCTTTGTTGCTTTTTGTTGCTCTCTGCAGGTATAGCCGTGGCTGCTCCAGTCATTGCTCCTACATCATTCCTGATTGGTCATTGGCATTATCTTGGCCTAGGATCAGAGAGGGTAAATGCCCTGGTGTCCAAATACATAGCAGAAGTACCAGGATGCAGTTCATGTGAGGTTTGATTCCTTACTGTAGCATAGGCTTCATATAGGGTCAGTAGAAATATGACTTTGGTTGTGACAAAGCCTGAGAATGCCATGCTGACCCATTCACTAATAAGAATGATGGGGGGAACATTTGTTAATTCTCTTTCATCATGTCAGTGAACATAGGGGGTCACTCAGGAGAAGATGGTGCTATTTCCCCTTTATTTATTTATTTTTGAAATCTATCCTCTGGGTTGTTGAAGTAATATTCTCCTGTCATGAGGGATTGGTTGGGAATATAATTTCCATTTTACCTGACTGTGCTTTGAATTAGGACTTGACTGTTGGATACCTGCTCCTGGGTGAGCTTCTTGTTGCTCTCCAGCAGGATGGACACACAGTGGTAGGTCATTCCCGGGGAGGGGATGGTAAAGACGGCCAGGACCCCGCAGAGCCTGATGTTGGTGGAGAGCAGCAGCTTCCGCCCCCTGTCTGCACTGAGAGCCAGCTAGGCCAGGGCCCCAGGGCTTCTCCTCCCTGGTGAGCTGGGCCTTTATTTTTTCCCCTCTTCCTCTCAGGGTCTCCTCAGGGCCTTCTCCTGCCCCTCAGCTTGGTCATTATCTAGGCCCAGGACAGGCCTAGGCCTGGGCCTCAGACCTAGTGCACTGCCTTCAGCTGGGATGCCATTTCATTTTAAACAAGAGTGAAGTTTAGAGAATTCTAAAACAGAAATCAAGGGTTCCTTGGAATCTTTTTTGCATGTTCTGAATGATCTGTATTAATACCACATTTTGGAGCTACTAAATAGTAGGGGTTTTTTTACCACTCTGACCCCCATGCCTCAGAGGAAAGTAGGTTATGAAACAGTATATACTGTATGAATTCATTTTTGTAAAAACACAAGAACCTTTATTTATTACTGCCTAGTGTGTGATAAGTACCAATAGTATGTACAAATAGAAAATTTATGGAATAATGTTTGACGTGATTAAATGGATAATAGGAAAACAATGGAATTCACACACCAAAAATGTTCATTGTACTTATTTCTGTTGTAGTATTTCTTTGTTTATAAGTGGTGAGAGGTCGATGAAAATAAAATATTTTGTCATAGGAAGAGCTATGTAGGAAATCATAAACTCAACCATTCCCTGAAACATTTCAAGCTACTAAGAAGTTTTGTTATCCTTTTACTCTGAAAAACAACATAGTAGTTGGATATATCATAAAGAAAAAAATATCTTTCATAGTTTAGGTATGTAGAGCAAATTGGGACACAATTCCAATACTAATGGCTTAACACAGTCGAGAGGTTTCAGGTGTAATAGCCAATGAGTGGTGGCTCTCTCACTCCTGCTTTGGACCAGCATGCTTCAGTGCTGGGCTGGGAGACCCACCCACTGGCTGGGGACCTGTTAGGAGACAAAGTAGAAGTAATTCTTATCCTCAGGATGTCATAAGCCAGTGACTGTGACTGGGAAGTTACACATATTTATGCTTCAGTTGAATTCATTTTTAAGACAGGGATGGATGATCATATTCGTCCTGCTTAAAAGGCTGTTATAAAAAGGAACTACTTAGAGCATTACTTGATAGTTCAAAAATACAAATTTGGACATGTCAAATAATGTAAATTCTCAGTTTGCTAGTTATAAGTAAATGTTTATTGAGTGTTTACTTTAGGTCAGGGACTGTGCCAAATGTAACTTTTAAAAAAGTATTTGTTTTTTGAGTAGGTAATACTTTACTTGGTAAAACAATTGAAAAAAAATGTAGTTTAAAGTCTTTCTCCCACCCCTTATCCCAACCACCACGTTCTCATCAATGTTTCCAGGGAGATATTATGCATATGCACATGTATATTTACCTGCCTTTTAAAAAATATTTTATTTATTTTTAAACAGCAGAAGGGAGGGAGAAAGAGAAGGAAGAGAAAGATCAGTGTGTGGTTGCTTCTCATGCGCCCCCTACTGGGGACCTGGCCCACAGCCCAAGCATGTGCCTTGACTGGGAATCGAACCAACGGCCCTTTGGTTCACAGGTTTGCACTCAGTCCACTGAGCCACACCAGCCAGCGCTGTATCTGCTTTTTAAAATCACAGATGATATCATATTATACAAACTGCACCTCTCTCTCCCTGAATACAAAGTATTTCATATCCTTATTTAATACAATAGTAGTTAAGATAGGTACTCATTATCTCCATTTTACAAATAAGGAAACAAAGATATCTCTATTTTTTTAATTTGTCCAGGGTGATGATATAGTTTGTAAATTATACATAGAATCTACTTCCCAGGTATAGAGGTAGTTATTTTGGTACTGCTTATTTATTTATTTATTTATTTATTTAACTTTTTGAAAACATTTCAAACTTACAGAAAAGTAGCAAGAGTAGAATAAAGGATTTCATGTATCCTTTGTTCAGAATCTCCATTCAGGTTTCTGTAGCTATCTCAGTAATGCTGGCAAAAGGAATTGACCCAGGAGCACACATTCCCAGTTGTTTTGCCTCTCTAGTTCCTTCAGTCTGGAACAGTTCTTTAGTCTTTTCTTAGCTTTCATGACTGATATTTTTGGAGCTCATAGGCCAGTTGTTTTGTAGACTATCTCTAATTTGCAATTGTTCTAGGTTTCTTTGCAACAGTTCTATGTTTCTTCACAATTATACTTACATAGTACATTTTTGGCCAAAATATCACAGAAGTCGTGTCATGTTCTTCCCATTGCATCCTTTCAGGTAGCATGCAGTGTCTTAGTTCCATTATTCCCACATTCAAGGGAGAGAAGAGAAAATGGAGGGAGGAGATGAGAGTAACTTTTATTGGTTTGCTTTTCAGAGAGCTCACTGTTCAGTAAGTATCTTTCCCTTGTAGCATCCTGGCGGAGAAGAGGTTCTGATAGAACAAGCTGGTGCAGATGCAAGTGAAAGCTTTGAAGATGTAGGCCACTCTACTGATGCCAGAGAAATGCTAAAGCAGTACTACATTGGTGATGTGCATCCGGTAAGAACCAGCTGAGCCAGGAGTGCTTATGGAGAGGAAAGCTCCTGAACAGCCACAGAGCAATGGAAATTCATTCAACCCAGCTCTCAGGCTGAATTTTCTCCAACATTATCTAGCCTTACTGTGCTAATAAGATATGGCTTCTTGTTTATAAAGCATCACATGTAATATCTCTGAAATCTAAGGAAACTGATTTTGAATTTTTTGTTTGATTGACTGATTTTTGTAATGCACCTCATAGCATCTCTACTTAATTCCTTTCTGGAGGTGGTAACTATGGACTTTTTAGACCATATCATTCTAACAAGAGACCTTGGTGTGCTCAGTTGGGTGTGGGCCTGGGGGAGCAATACCGTTCTGCAGACCCTGCTGCCTCTCAGGAATTCACTTCTGCCACAGTGTAGTCTTGTGTTCCAAGGTTAGAAACAAGGGCAAAGTGGGTGTTCATTTGGATATGTCTTCAAATATTATTTGTTTTCCCTCTTTTAACAGAATGACCTTAAACCTGGAAGTGGTAGCAAGGTAAGACGTCATCTGTTTCTCTTGTGTGTTTCAAGGGTTTATATTTCTAGTCATATAGAATTGCTTTGTTAAAAATTATCTTAACAAGAAAAGTGTTTACTTTTCCCCCAAGCGAAAATCCTATTTTTCAGGAATTTGGACTCAGTACCGTCTCAGGAAAAAAGAATAGCTGAGTCTTGAACAGTAGGAAACATTTGTTCATGTTTCTATTTACATTTTTAAAAAAATTGGAACTCTAAAGCCATGCCCTGTATGGTTTTGAAAGAAATTAGTTTATGGGTTCAGTTGTAGAAAAGTATTTATTATTCTTACATTAAATAGTACAGGTGATAATGATTTCTTTTGTATTGGAAAAAAGTTGGGAAGTTAATTCTTTTTCTCTTACAAATCTTAGAAGGAGTTGTAGACTGAAGTAATTGAGTAGAACAGGCCTTTCTGTCCCTATTTCCCATATTTAATCCTTTTATTGTGTAGGCTCAAATGGGCCTACACCCTTCCCATTTACTTGGTGATACAGCAAAAGCAGAAGAGTCAATATTTGAAAACCTTAATGTGTACCGCATAACATACCAGGAAGAAGATATGAAAGACTTTTTTGCTTCCTGCAAGCTGGGTAGTTCATCTCCTGTATTCCCCCACAATTTTCCTTGATTTCTGTTCATCAGATAGCTATTATACTATTTCCTGATTTAAAGGAACAGCAGTGTACTTGCTGCCTGGAACATCATGGAAGCAATGATGCTCCTCCTGCCCCTTTTCCCCCTCCTAGCTTCTTGCTTCCCTTTCCTCACTGAGCTGGAATTACTGAACACATCTAACGCAGCAATTAAAGTTGGCCTAGACACAAGAATTCTTTCAACTCCAGATTGCTTGACAGCGGCTGTTGCCCTGCAATCCAGAGTGTGTAAATTAACTCTTCTGTCTTACTACACTCTGCTACTCTGAACTGTTGAATTGTTTATGAAGGGGGATGAAATGGTTCTTTAAATGCCTTGTGAGCACTGTTGGTTTCTTTGTTCTCCCCTCCTAACACATGTTACTATCTATTCTTAAATCCTCACTTGTGTAATTAAGAGAAAATTTGATGAAAGCCTGGTCTTGTGTATTGAACATGTTCAGGAAACATTGCTCTCAAGAGGTCAGCATTTGATTCAAGGGATATTACCATTTGTACAAAAGATGCACATTGTATCTGGGAGCCATAATCCACTTCTGCACAGCAACTATGAGAGCACTCTTTATGTTAAAACAATAGAAAAATATTTTTGGAATTATAATGTCTAGAAGTCTACAAATTGATTTTTGTTGCTGTTTTTCTTCCTTGGTAGTACAGTATGCAGTTAAGGCCATTCTAGGAATGGAGAATGGTGATTTTCAAATTGCCCTTGTGCCACCTATATTGGAGTCGTTTGGCATGTTTTCTGAAGTGTATGTGTCCTGGGCTTCCATTACTACTGACTCATAATCTCTGGAAGTAGGACTTGGGAATTTGCATTTAAAGTCACCCAGCTAGATAAGCACCAGACTTTTTGCTGAATGATATGTTGGTCTTTCATTTGAAAACTTAGGAAACTTTAATCCTTTTCTGTGAAAAGCACTGTCTGCTTTCTGTAGGCCAAAGAATTAATTAGAGATGTCTTAGTTAAATTAAAACTGTTGAGCCTTGGACTTTTTGTAATAAATACAGAATAAGAAACCTTTTCAGCTCACCAAATTCTGTAATAATTTAGAAGTCTCCAGGTGTAGTTTGGCTCCTGCCTGGGTTAAGCAGTGATTAAAGACAGTATTTTTAAGTATCTGTTTTCCTCATGAATGTTGTACCCAAAGGACAGTCTCCATTCAGTAGACAGTCTGGCAGTTGAGTGTTCCCAGTCACATGTCTGTACCTCAGACAGATCAGGCAAGCAAAGCCTTTTGGAACATTTTCAAGACCACCTACATAGGTTGTCATTGAGCTATAGTTGAACCTGATTTCAGGTCCAGAAGAAATTCTTGACCTCTCAGATTTATTTCTTACAGAAATTTTTAAATAGGCACTTCTGTGTCTAGGTGTCTCTTTTTAAAATTCTTCTGTCCTGGTTTAAACATTCACCATGAAGAAATGGATGTAATGTTGATTTTATTAATACTTTCTTTTGGTTAAGGGTTTCTGAACCTCTATGAATAAGTGATTTTTTTTTTTTAAAGCCTGCGTTGTAGTATAGTTATCTATTTCCTTCTCCTTCTCCCCTTTATTTCTCCTCTTCTCCTCTCCCTCTGCCCCACAGCCCCCTCTCTCTTCCCAGCCGGAAACTCCTCCCCTCCCCCAGCAACAAATGACAGCAACAAACACCCAGACATGGCCATTTCAGAATATAAATCAGGAACGTTTCCCCATTTTTTTTTGGAACTACCTTTCGTACTGCTTTTGCTATGATACAGGTAAATAATTAATGGTCACCATTGTTTTCTTCTGAGGTTGGTAATGTGTGAGGTTCAAGGCCCTTAAATATTACAATACTAAAACAGAAAAGCTTAGAAAACATCTGGCAGTAGATGTTTTTCTTACCTGCTTCAGTCAAAGATAATTAACTAGTTAAAAAACCTTTTTGTCTCTATCACTCTCTTCCTTGCTGGAGCCGTCAACCTTCTTTTCATAGTTGACTTAACATTTTCCTGATCTGCTTTTGGTTATGGAAGCACCTTGGAAACAGACTTAGTGTTTCCTGTGCCAGTTTGCCTGCTTGCCTACTCTACTGCAGGTAAACTAGGCACCTTCGTGGCCCGTGAAGTCTCTCATTTGAGTACGCATTTACTTCTTAATTAACTGTTTTATCACTGCCATCAGTTTAGGAGATAAAGTACACACATGCTATTCTGACCAAAAAAGTAGGCACCATATCATTCATTCATTCAGCAGATATTGCCTAGGTGACAGTTCAGCTACTTCACTAGTCAAATCTCATTACAATCAATAGACCCAATAAGTTGACAGTTTTTTATTTATGTTTCTTGAATGGGTAGTATATGATGTACATGGTAAGAAAACAAAAAACTGCGACAAAGTATACTATAAAAATGATTCCCTCCAACACCTAGCTCTCAGTCTCCTAGTTCCCCTTCCCCAGAGGTAGCCAGCTACCATTTTTTGTTTACTTTTCTAAAGAGATCTTGTGCATACATAAATATAAATAGATAGAAGGCTAGATAGAGAGGTGGATAGATTGTTCAGTTGATAGATAGGCACAGCAGCCGTCCCTTCCTTAAAAAAAAAATACTATTCTGCACCTTGCTTCTTTTTACTTAAAAATTTTATGTTAGTGATTGTTCCTTATCAGTTCATAAAGATCTCACTCATTCTTTTAAATAGATATTCAGTATTAAGTAGATATTCAGTATTTGATAGACAAAAGTTTTAATGAGATGACATTTGCTGTAGCAGGATTTGATGTTTTTTTAAAAAAAGAGGTAAGATTTTCTCTATAAAGACTTAAACATTTTTAAAATTCATTTTAAACAAGTTTAACTTTTGAAATCTATTAAATTTCACATATTAGAAGTAATCCATAGATTGCATTTAAAGACAGATAAATATATTTTTTTCTCTCAGATGCTACCTACTTTTGTTATAATACAGTTTTCTATTACACATACATAATGTATTATCCGTACATAACATTCAGTTTACGTTCTTTAATGGGAGAGAAACTAAAAAGTATGCATTGTTTATGTAATGTACTTAGTTGGTCATATTATACTAAATGTGCTTTTAAGAATTAATAGTCCTGTCGTACTTAAAACCTAATTTATTAGTTTGGAATAGGGAGGTAGATGCCCTTTAGATGAGTGGTGATTGCTATTTACCAAAGAATTGTCAGGTTAACTTTGTTCCCTCTTTTTGTTTAACATTTGTATTTTGTAACATAATCTTTTGAAATAAAGCATAGAATGCAATGGCAAAATCACTTAAAAAAATAAAAAATCGCTCTTGAAAGACAAAATACCCTTTGCTAAGGGATCTCAAGGATTGTCTTCTTGTAATATTCTATTTAGAAATGACATATAGTTTTGCAAAACAAGGCATCAGAGGACAAGGTAACATCCATTTTTAAGTCAACCCTCCAATATTATAACAAATTTTTCATTTCTTAGGTCCCAGTAGAAAACATCCTGAGTGTTTTAATTTTTTTCCTCAGTGATGTCTTACATAATGTATCCCAATGAGTTCTTTTTTAAAAAAATATTTTATTTATTTAGTTTTAGAGAGAGGGGAAGGGAGGGAAAAAGAGTAGGAGAGAAATATCAATGTGTGGTTGCCTCTCGCATGCCCCCCACTGGGGACCTGGCCCACAGCCCAGGCATGTGCCCTGACTGGGAATTGAACCAGCAACCCATTGGTTTGCAGGCCGGCCCTCAATCCACTGAGGCACACCAGCCAGGGCCCAGTGGGTTCTTGAGAGACTTGTGTGGAAATTTGTTTGAGAGGATGTTTTTCATCCTTAGAATTTTGCCCTTATCTGTGGGGAGATATGTTTTCCATGGCTAGGCTGACTCTAAGGATATATGCTTTGCGAGACAGTAATAGTTACGCAGTATTCTCATTCAGAAAGAAAGTTTAGTACATTGGAGCCTTCATGAGAAGGCTGTCCTCAAGATCTAGACCTCATGGCTGTGCCATCATTGGGGCTATGAAATGTCGACATCATGTACTTTCAGCACTTAAACTGTTTAGGTCATAAGATAAACCTAACATTAACATTTATATAGTGACAGCTCATGCCAAAGTTTATTTTATTATGGGGGAAAATATCCTCTCCAGTAGTAGTTGAAGCCAAAAGTATCCAAGTTGTTTTTCATAAGTACTGGCCACATAGATACCAACATGTTCTAAATAAAAAGCTATAAAAACTACCAGACCACCCAAATACTCATTGAATTTGCTGAAGGTGTCCTGTGGCTTAAAATCGACTTCTAATTTTAAATACTTAAAATTCTCTTGTACTAGGAAACACCCAATTGAGGAATTAAAACATGAATTCCTTATATACCTTATAATATATTTCTACTTTATTTAAACCCTTGAAAGTCTAAATATAAACTATTTAGGCTGAAGGTGCATTTATAATGCCCCTCCTGCATATCTTCATGAATTGCAATCGTAATTCTGGGACATCGTTTCCTCTGTTAATGTCCTGGTGACAGAGTACACCATTTTTCAAGTGTGTGTGTTCTTTGTTTTCTTGTAAACAGGATTCCGTAGTGAAACCACCCCTACTGACTTCCCAAGTCTCCACTCATAATTTGTTAATTATGACATTTCTTTATTATTCTTTTAACAGTGTCAGAGAGGATCAGAACTTAATGGCACAGTGCCTCTTGGCAGAGTATCTAGAAGAACACCTTTATATACCTGATGTAAGATAGAAAAATCTACGTGTAGTAGAGCTCCTTCTGTCTTCCTGGACATGAGGAAATGGGGTTTCCTTCTCTTCTAAAATGGCTAGAAAGCTGCTTTTTTAGGTTTTGCCAAAATGCCCTTGGGTCAGAAAACTGTGTTGAGTTCATTGAATATGAATTTAGAATTCAAGTTCATCTGGTCTGAGCTTTTCATTTTACAAGTGAGGAAACTGATTTAGCATTGAGCTTTAAGATCTTAGACATAATTTTAGTTATAAGCAGCTTTATTAAAAGATTTCTCAGATACTATGAAACATTTCCTTTTGTCCTGCAAAGTTCAGGTTTGGTACTTATATGTATATTAATATAGTTACTTCCTTACTTATTTTATGAGGGAATTAGAGCCTTAATGAATTTCAAACTTTAGGAACCAATATATATAAACAGTTAATTTCTGTTAATTTTGAACTAAAATCAGAGTATGCTTAGAGCAGTTTGATTGTTTGGAATTGTATTCCAGTCTCCTTGGAGAACAAAGAAACATGCATATTAGTTATTTGATAAGGCTTTTTGCTAGAATTCTGTATTTGATTTGCTCTCTTGTAGGTAAAATCATACAGTATTGCAATTACTACTTTCCATGCCAGAGATTGAGGGCAGTCACTGTTCTTTTGACCAAAAATCTTGCATGTAAATGTAAATGCGGGCAAGAATATAACCAGCCAGATATGCCTGAACGACCAAAGGGATAAGTTAAAGTCAATCATAAACTGTAGGAATTTCACTTAAACATCTGGTAGATTCAGAACAGAGCTTTGAAGTGGAAATGAGAATTGAAAAATTGTGTAGAGAGGATAGAGGTGAAGGTGAAGGAAAGTTTTGTGTTAATAGAACCTTTTTGTTTTTAATTTTGTAAATTTAAAAATAACTTACTCAGTTTCTTTCCAAACTTGGCTGATGAACTTGGCTACTAAGAACAGTGTCTTAATAACTCTTCCATTATAGTTGATTAAAAGTAGAGTCACTATAGTTTGGCACTTACTTGGTTGTCAGTATCCTAAAGAGAAGATATGCTTCTTTCTCTTCTCTTTCTCTCAGTGTTAGGGCAGTTGGTCTTTTTGACTCAAGGGATGGATTGGTCTTAAAACAGGTGTTGAAATATTTAGCTAAAATACATATATATTTTAATTTTTGATTGCTTACTAGGAACCACTACAATTTCAGCATTTTATGGTATGGTTCTCTCTTATCGCTCTTCCTCTCTTTCTTTCTCTCAGTTTATTCATTACATTTTCTAAGGCTCACTCTATTTAGCATACGTCCAGGGCTTTTGGTTACAAAAAAGGCTAAAAGCTTTGAAATCTAGAGAATCCATTTATATGATCTGTATAAATGGCTTTTCTTTTTACTTTTTTTTCAGATTTTATTTATTTTTAGAGAGAGGGAAGGAGGGAGAAAGAGAGGGAATGAAACATCAGTGTGAGAGAGATGATTAGCTGCCTCTTGCATGCCCCTAACTGGAGACCTGGCCCACAACCCAGGCACGTGCCCTGACTGGCAATCGAACCAGCGATCTTTCAGTTCGTAGGCTGACACTCAGTCCACTGAGCCACACCAGCCAGGGCTGTTTATATGACTTACAATGTGATGCAGGTTAAACACCATAATACATACTTTATTCCATAGTGCTGTCAGGTAAACCTTTGAAATCATCCCATTTAAAAATACTAACTTTACATTTTTATATGATAAATCGTTGTATATATGTGGATAAAGTGTAAAAGACCATTGTCTTGATGGAATGCAATTATTTCTTGGCTACTATAGTGGAATATTTAAAAAGGCAATGTTATATATTGGTGCACACCCATCATCACTACTACCATCTTCCAGATCTGTAAAACGTTTGTTTTATTTCTCAAAGATTGACCTGTGACATGTTTTAACTAGCCCAGTACGTGCTATCTATCCTAGTGGATATATCCCAGATGACAGTATCATCATGGTCTCAATGAAGTATAGTATGTGATATGTAATATGGTTTATCTAAAAATTTTTATTAGAAGTTTTACTTACCTATAGGCTAATTTCTTTCAGGTTCGGGGCATGAATTCATTTGCATGGCAGTGTTGTGGATATATGAAACTGAAACTCATTTCATGATCTGCTCTCAAGTATCTAGGCCATTATGTAGGGTTTTTGAAAATTCTGGGAGATTATTGAAAATGGTGGATAACAGAATTAATATTCTGTGTTCACACCCTAGAGAATTTCTACATATTGGCAGAGATGATATTTTGGGTAGCAGTAACCTATATTAGTGGGTTATTGCCCTCTGGCAGTAAGTTAGCAGGTATTTTGTACTATACATTTAATTAATGGAATCAATAACTTCATTTGACATTTACTTAAATTGAATTTTAAATATTAAGTAACAGCTTTGTTAAGATATAACTCAGATCCCATCCAATTCACCTATTTATGCCATAATTTTGTTTTTAAGGTTTTTTTTGTATTTTCTTCCCCTTAATTTCATTCTTCCCCTTCCCATTGTGAAATAAGCCCTAAGGTCTCTAATCATAATTATAATGATTTCAGAGAATAAGCCAGTTCATTTCAGTTAATCTATGTATTACAAGTCAAGACATTATTTTTAAAACATGTTTTTAGAAAATGTGATTGTAGTTACTGCCAGTGGCAAGCCCTACTGAACCGGGCATATCATTGTGACTACAAGTTGGTCCATTTCAGTATAGTTTGTATCAGTAGCATTTTTTTTTTCTTTTTAACATCTAAAAGATGTTTAGGTCATTTCTTTGTACTTTCATTAATAGTTCTTCACTAGGGAATACCAGTATGTTATCAGAAATAGAATTCCTGGTACCCCCATTGCATATAGATTTGTATACATCAAATTGCATGAAAGAAGAAGTTCTGTTATTAGTTACAGAGTTTATATAGATATTCAAGAACATTTATGTATTCTGTGTTAATCTTTATTTTTTTTTTGTTTGTCATTTTTGAATATGCGTCTTCTTCAGGACCCTTCGAAAAATAACTCCTGCAAAAGGTTAGTATCCCCTTAATGCACTTCATCATGCTCAACGTAACATCTGGCAGGAGATTCTCCCCTAAATCTACTCATATGACAGTATAAGAGTACAGTTTGATTGCTAATTCTGTTTTGGCCAAAATTATTGCAAATTCAGAAATTCCTTAGCATTAGCAAAATTAATTTTTACAGTTTTAATCTCAAAAGTTCATGCCTTGAGTAATTTTTAAATCAAATTGGAATCACACTCAGTAAGAGGCTGGTATGCCTGGGCAGACAAATAAATACTGTTGAGCCAAGCCCAGCCTCTGCAGCTTAGCTCGGCTGTGTAACTACCACTTAAAACTTACTATCATTAAATCCTCACAATCACTCTGTAAGGTAGGTACTATTATTTTTACATTTTATAGAAGAAAAAATTATGTATTACAGTCGTATTCAGGAATTTGGGTTTTCTCAAAGAGTTACTTACAGAATACTTCTTCCAGTTATTACTGGTACTATAGCTCTGAAAAGGATAAATGTACCATTCCTTCCGTGCTTCTGTTTGAGATGACTGTAGAGTCCTTGGCTTGTGAAAAAAACCTATGTAGAGATTATGTAGACCTGTCTGTTGTGTCTTTCCGCAGTCCCATTGAAAGCATTTCAGAGACAGAGAAAATGTGTCTTTTCTTCCCATAAGTGTCATGTCTTTTTTGAGATGAGTGACAGAGTATTAGAAAAGTGCACACTTGCAGAAAAAAGTAAATTCATCTTTCTTAATATTAAGGACTTACACTTAATAAAGAATTGAAAATATAAGCCATAAACTTGCAATAGACTTTTGCTACAGATAAACCTGAATAAGAATTATTATGCAAATACGTAAAGAATTCCTGCAAATCTATTAAAAAATAGCTTCGTAGAATATGAGAAAATGACTTAAGCACTTTACAGAAGAGGAAATACAAATGTAAGCATATAAAAAAAGGTTTAGTTTATTTGTCATCGGAGAGGTGAAGATTAAAATCATTGGGTATATTTCACACTAACCAGCTTGGCAAAAATTTTTAATTTTAGAAATCAGAGGAGTTGGTTAGGAAATAGGTCACCAAGATTCTTAGGCCCTCTTAGGGCAATATAAATGGATACAATCACTTTGGAAAACTGTTTGGCATTGTCTATTAAACTTGACAACATGAATAACTTTTGACCCAGCAATTCCATTTCTAGGGCTGTACTCAAGAGAAATGTGTGCACAAGTACACCAGGAAACACGTACAGGAATGTTCACAGCAGCATTATTCATGATCTTAAAATATGGAAAGTAACCCAATGAATGAATTCATTCTGGTGTATTAGTACAGTGGAATGCTCCAGATTGATAAAAATAACATTCACAACTGCATGCAATAACCTAAATGAATCTCCAAGAAGAGAGTTCTGTCTTATGGCCAGGAAGTTATTGTTGAAGCTGAATCTCCTCTGGTGTAATGTAAATGCATTTTCTCTGGTCCTGGTCTCCGTGGCATTTAAGTATTGTATTACCAAGGATTATATGAGGGTTGGTGGTCAACCATCCTTGGTCTTTTGTACTGAAGAATTTCTCTTCATTGTTTTCTCAAGGATCCTGCTTTTGAACCCTTTTGTCTCTTGTGGTTATTCTCCAAGATAGCTGAATTCATGACTCTTATGGGGAGATTACTTCATAGTTCCCACGTATCGTATTGCCATTATACATGCCAACTTGCTTTTAAAGGAAAAGCTACCTGGCTGATACTCTAAACTTGTCCAGAGCAGCTTTTGCCATATGTGTGCAAAGTACTAGGCATGTTTGGGCAAAGAGAATCATTTCAATTATTGAACCTGGTTTTAAAAATGGCTTCAAAACCTTTTAATACCAAAACTGCATTATGTCTTAAGTAGAGGGGCAGCCAGGTCATTTGGATCATGGAATTACACCTTCAAACTAGCAGTGCTCATAGCTCTATTAGAGAAGAAGAAATATTTTAAGGAGAATGATAACTGTTTTGAGACTCCCAAGGAAAACCTCTTAAAGGGCTTTGTAAGCCAACTGCCATTTATCTCACTTTATTAGAACTATCAACATTGTTGTATGTGTGTGTGTGCGCGTGCGCTAATATTAGTGCCCAAACTTAACCAGAGATTAAGAGGATGAGTTTGGAATCGAATGCTTGACTAACTTTGCTTTTTGATTTTGGGTGCTAAGCTTATATTTCCTGTGTAAGAAATGAGAATGATAGAATGATAGTAGAATCTATTTCATAGGGTTGTTATGAGGATTAAATTGAGAAATACTTTTGAGGCAGTTATTGCTGATAGTTGTTTTGGAAGTTAATGCTTATATATATAAATTTATATATATATATATATAAAATGATGGCTTTTTTTCTTAATTTTTTAAAAAAAATGTTGGTTATAGAATATGTGAAAAAGCACAAAGGAAAATCTAAACTATCCATAATCCCATAACCCAGAAAGAACTACTATATGACTTTGTAACACATATGAAGGTGTGTGTGTATATATATATATATATATCTTTTTTTGGTTACTACTATATACATTGTTTTTAATCTTTTAAAAATTATCATTTAACATTGTCACTCCAATTCAGATATTTGTTCTTCTCTAACTAGTGTGTGATAACAGCAGTTAAAATTCCCAAAGTAAATAAAAACTCTTTGCTCACAAAAATATTAAAATGTGAATGTTGGAAGATAGTGAATGTTTGGTGTAAAATGTTCATGACTTTATTGCTTTCCCCCCCCAACTTCTAGTTGCTGGACATACTGGGTTTTCCCCATCATAGGCGCTGTTCTCTTAGGTTTCCTGTACCGTTACTACTACACGTCGGAAAGCAGATCCTCCTGAGGAGGCCTTGACGTCTGGAAAGCGAATCCACTTGGGAGTGAAAACTAGAGACTTGTCTGGAGGCTGCAGTGGTGCCCTGTTCCCAAATCCTACCAGTTGTATTCTTCCCTTTGGCGCCCAGACGATTAAGCCACGCGTTCACCTCAGGCCTGGGAACAGTGTCCTCCTTTCTCAGAGCCTTACTCCCACAGCACCTGCTCGCTGTTCCGTGTCCCCCAGTGTTTCCTGTCTTCACTGGTTTCCACAAGCACCTTTATATTACACAATTTTCTGTTAATTACTGCAATCCATATGTCCTGTGGCATTGCCATTTGATAAAAATGCCTGCTTTCCAATACTTTGAATGCACATGAGACATTCTTAACATAGCAGCACACTCTGGTTTTGAAGATTTTTTCCCCACTCTTAAGTAAATATCATTATTCTAAAATTCTGACTTAATTTTATTATTTTTCCTAAGGGGTTTAATTCATGAAGTAAGTTGTACACCTGCACCTTAAAACACAACTGCCAAATGATCTCCTTCCTTGTTTATATTTGTTAAAACTAGAAAGAGCCGTGGGATCATCTCCCTCCCCAGCTAGTGCAGCCGGTAGCTCTTGCCACCCCTTGTGTGGTGCTGGACAGAACTGTGCTTCCCTTTCATTTCTCAGAACAGAGAGACACAGGGAAATGGAGCCATGAATTGGAGTGATAGGGCGAGGTCATAGCAGTCTTTCTTTTGAAAAATGGAAACACGGCTATAGGACAGGAGCTTGGAAAAAGCACCAAAGACTTTGTCCTTTACTTTGGTTTGCCACCGGTTTCTAGCCATCTTTTGTCTTATTTTTCCTTTCCCGCAACCATCTTTCTCAGTAAAGTATAAATTTGTAAATATGTCTATGGAGCTTTAGCAGTGACTGTCACTGCTTTTTTGTTTATTGGTTAGGAAATTTTTTATTCCCTGTTTTAATGAAAGTAAGAGTCTCCCGATTGATCAGAGCTACAGTATTTGATCTTCTGTTTGGCCAGTGAGCACTTGAAATGGGGGGATGGTGACAAGAGAGTGTTTTCCATTTCATCTGTTTTTTATCTCCGTGGTTCAGACTTGTGGTTGTGTTGTTTTTCTTTTGAGAATAAAAACCTCGTAGTTTTGTTTTTTTTTTTAATCTTTTCTTTTCTTGGAGGAGTGTTACTTTGAAGAGTAGGTTACTGCTTAGAATTATGTTAGTGTTTCTTCTTTATTCAGGAATTTCTTTGGCATATTTGCCTTTCTTTTTTCCCCCCTGTGGAAGCACCTGCGGAGGCAGTTCACTGACTCTTCTGCCAGCCGCCGTTCGTGGCGGTCTCCCCGTCCTCAGAAGGCTACCAATCTGCCGCTGAGCCGTCTTCACAGGCTGCAGGGAGCAGTGTGGTTCCAGGCGGGCCACGGGCACTGCGTGGTATCTCCCGCCTGCCAGGGACTCGACAGCACAGGAAACTGCCGCACACCGGTGTCTGCCCGTGCAAACTATTTAAGAAAAAGTTCAATCCAGGTCTTATATCCTGTGATTTAGCAGTTACTGAAGTCAGAATTCATCAAAATATTACCCATTTTTGCATGCTTGGATATGGTACTGAGGAGTGATTTGGGGGGATTTCTGGCAGACTTTTATTATGGGATATGGTCTAGTCAAACTTTTACCGTTAGAAAATGTTTCATATGTATTATAAGATGGCACTGTAAGACAATTTATTGAAAAAAAACTTCGCTATGTAGCAAAAGCAGTGTGACTATTGATGCTCCTTTATTTGGAGGCAAGGAAGGGATGCCTTGAGTAGGAATTTGTATGTAATTGCTGTACCGAAAGTTACATGATTACCGGGGACCCTGTTGGGGTAGCAGTGAAGAACAAAGGAGCATTGAGGAGCTGGAAAGGGAACATTCAAGCTAAAACTAAGCCGGAAGATAACTTGGATCAATCACAAGGGTGTTGGCAGTCTCCAAAATGGAATGAAAAACATCTGGTTTATAAGAAACATTAAAGAATGATAGTCTTAAGTAACACTGGTGTTTGATATTTTTTAGTGTAAACACCAATGCAAAAGATATGTTTTTCTATTTCATATTGGTTGTCTTTTCTTGTTTATATCTGGACTTGTTTTCACTCAGAGCCAGAGGAAAAGATTTTCAGACTTTGTCTCTACCATCCATGAAATCCATCCAATACCCAGGGCTCCTTTTGATCTGCAAATGTGATGTCACTTTGTATTATGAAAACCACTTCTGGGTCCATTTGCTATTATTCTGCTGCCTACATAAACAGCCAGGTGAAAGGTAGAGCTTGTGTGAGAGTGTGCAGAGGTTTTTCTAAACAATAAAGTAATACAGTGTGTTAGCCAAATCCTTCAAAAAGGACTTCTGTTTTAAGAAGTAGACTTGAATTCTCCAAACAGTCTCAATATTGGTAGCTTGTGAAAACCCCTGTGGAACAAGTGGTGCCTGCCCCTGTTGGCTGACCGTGCCCCCCGGACCAGGTCTCTGGGTGTTTGGTTGTTCCCAGGGACGATTCGCTGCTACTGCACACCCTGCTCTACACATAATGGCTGAGCATCACAAACGGAGATGAGAGAAAATGGCCACCAAAGTAGGGATGCACTGGCCTCCAAAATTTCCTGGCCCCCGTGCTCTTTAAGAATTGGTTTGGTTTCCAAATAACTTCTATGTTTGTAAAGACAAGTAATACTCTGTTTAGTTCTTATGTGACTGCTTAAGCAGAAGCAAAACCCCATTAGAACCTATCATTTGAGTCTATAAAATTCTCTGAGCAGTCACCATAAATGCACATGTTGTGAAATAATAGCATTGTTGAGCTTATACTCATTTAGTTCCAACGTGGAGCAACGAAAAACGCTTTTTACAGGCCAGGCATATCACTACCCATGGTATCTCGTGCTTGCAGTCTTAAGTGATAACTATCTGGTTAAATTCCATTTTAGGACATTAAAATGTAGAATGTTAATGTTTATTACATCCTTCCCCAGGAGAAATGGATTCAGACATGTCTTGTTGCAACAAGAAATTGATTCTTTTTAAACCATATTCGGTTGCCATATATCACAAAAGTAACGGGGAGTTTGGTCACATCCTGGGCTGTTGTGTTCTGAAAGAGCCCGGTTTGGAATTCGTGGGGCGATCTCAGAGGGAGGCCCCAAGGAGCAGCGCCGCTTTAAGTTACCCACCCTACATGTCGCCTCTTCCTCATGAGTTTTAGGAGCTGCTCTTTGCCTGCATTTATATTCTACATTTGCTATTTTGACAAAACATTATTATGATTATTTGACTTTCTTTTCACTTCACCCTCTATGTGAATGAGTAATATTAACATTCCTTTTGTGTATTCAATAATGCAGTTTGTTTACCTATTTTATTTCAACATATTTTGAACAAAGATCTTTGTCTCTTTCTGCTGGAATGTGCACACAGTGAATGTTTGTTAGAACCACACACAATAAAGATACTGTTTTCCTTTTCTTGCCCTGACTACAGTTATTTAAAAAAATAAAAATAAAACAAAAACTCTTTTTTTAAAAGTAGAAGTGCTGCCTTTGTAACCTTCAGGTGTTCTAGAAGAAAAGCACTTGAGGGGGATGGAAGTCACCTGTGTCTGTGCGAATGCTGCGTTTACTGTAACATGGTAGGGAGTCTGCGGTTCAGGGTTCTTGCTGCTGCTCCTTGGAGTGAGTTGCTCGTTCAATAAATCATGAGAGGCAAACACCAAGACTTTCGCTGTATTGATGGATGTGAAGTGGTCACTGGGTAGACACGTCGGGAGTTCTGTTTTTACTGAAACCATCTGCTAAAGAGAAGCCAGTACAAGGTAATAATATTTTGTTATCTGCAATGCCAGCCTTCAAATGATTGTTTTTCTTGGAAATAACTAAACTGTTAGGGAAAATTAAGCACTCAGATTGAAGTTCTAGTGATTGTGTTAATAAAACAAGGTAAATAAACCATTTTTCTCATTATATTTAAAACCTGATAGCCTTCTAACATTACTAATGAGACATAGCTCGTGAGGGCCTAGTAATTTCACTGTCACGTGAGTTGAAGGTTACTAACAGGAAAGGATAGTCTGTTCTTATTACTAGCATTTGAATTTAATGTGTAATCTTCAGCCGTAATTCGTATCACTTCACTTCCTGATCCTGAGTATTTGGCAGGTGCTTGACAAATCCTGGCTGATTCCTGAAAACATGAGGTAGAGGAGTGTGCCTCCAATTAAATACATTTAAAGGTAAAATAGACTGCAGTCTACTAACTTGCTGGTAATTGTAGGTAACGGTAACCTAACTTTAATTAGCTAAATGGAAGTCTATATTATGTATTTCAAGGCCCACTCAGCTTAAATACACACGCGCGCGCGCACCTGCCAGCATTTTAAAAACTTAGTTCTTTCATGGAGCATTATGGAGAGCCTAGAGTTACTTTCAGAAGAAACATGAGGATGCAGTTGAAACACTGTCATTTTTTCATGACACCTACTATGTGTCATGCAGAGTCTGATAGTTAAAACATTTCTGCTCCTTCCACTGTAGTATCCTTCCATGGTAGATGGGGGAGAGGGGTAATCCAAATTTTACTTGATTTGCCTGAGGCCACACAGCTAACAGGAGAGCTAGAATTAAAACTCAAATCTAGCCCTGAAACTCGATTTCTACTTTTGGTAGTTCCATGTAAAAGCTAAGGTTAAACTCTGCCCGAATAAATAATATGCCTAGTAGATCTACTAATGATTCCCATGTTGATGTTCCTGTATATGATTAATAAAATGGAACCAATGAGGTTATTATTTTCTTAAATACTAAAAAAATAGGTATTATCTTAGAGGTTTTGGTTGTTGAAGAGAATTTTATTGACTCAGTAGATACTTATGTAAGATGACCCTCACATCCTTTGCAAAAGTTTTCTGAAGCCAGTGAGTGAGAATTTAGATTTGAACTATGTTATTAGAAATGACGAAGGGTCACCTATATGGGATGAGTTGAGTACTATTGAGGGAATCATTACGTAGTGCAGATGCGAAATCCTTGCGTCACTTCACTCACCCTATCACCCAACCTGGGATCCTGGATTAAGATCTAACCTGAACCCATGTACGTATGTTTTTAATGAAAAGTAATTGTTCATGAGTTTGCTTGACCGTGGGCTTTTCTGGACCCACCTCTAAATCATGTGAAAGTCTAAGAAATGGAAATCTACTCTGAGCATGTGGCATGAGATTTGGAAACTTGTCATTTCCTGCTTTCCAAATTGTTATACTGTATCATGAAAAGATGATTCAAGTTCATTGGAGAAAGCACAACATAATGCAAATACAAATGCCATTTGTTACAAGTGTGGCAAATGGCATTTTTGATCCATCAGTGCCAGCCTCAAAGCAGTTTCCTATTGTTTCCTCCTGATCCTAATCTGTAACTGAAACAATGTTAACTTTAGAAGCATATGGACTTAGAAAGTAAAACAAACAAACAAAAAAATCCAGGTGCTTGAATTTCATTTTTACTTAAAAAAGCTTACTTTGGGGATATTTTTTCTAGTTTCCCCATCTAAGTTTTTCCAGAGCTTTGTAAGGTGTGGCATTACCTTACAGAACAATAGGATGATGTCCACAATAAAAACAAATCTCCCAAATCTGCCCACTTTGATTTAATTACCTAAGAAACCTAATCAGAAGCAACTAGAGATAGAAGTTGGGCGAAGCTACACCGTGAGCAAGCAGCACAGGAAGCTGAGCTTTCCAAGACTCCCAGTCTGACCTCCTTTTCCTCTGCATGCTTAAAAAAATTCTTTGGATTTTTTCCCTTACCTCCCATCCTAACCCCTGCCTTATCCCTTTTATTTTATGTTTTACCTTGAACTCCTTGGCCTTATGTTGTAATGAATGACAAGGGAGCGCCTCAGCCATGCTTCTCTTGATTTTTAAGCATATGGTACAAAAATGGACCCGATAGTGTCCTAGAGAACATGTGGAAGAAATAAAGCTGGTTTGTTTATAATTTGGACCATTTACATAAACTAGTGCAGTTCTGTTTGAACATAGCTATTGACCTTCATTTAAGGCTAAATTCTACCTCTGGACCTTTCATGTGTGAGTCAATAAGGTTGCTTTTTGTGTAAACTAGTTCAAACTGGGTGTCTGAGACACACATTTTGACGACTATGGCCGCTGCAATTTATCTGACCTTAAAATGCCTGCCTTGGGAATGTCTTCATAAGGGCTCTGCCTCTTCAGGTGTACCTAAGCAGAAACTCACTTTTATTGTGCCAAGTCTAGGTATCTTTGGAAAGAAGAAATATTCCTCACCTTAAAAAAGATACATACATACTCAGATTAATTATTGTTACAGAGTAAGACTAAGATACAGAACCCTTTTAAAGGTTTAAACCCAAGACATGCTATAGTCACGAACTCTGTGTGTGTGTGTGTGTGTGTGTATTTTACTTAAGTGTCTTCATTAGTGGATTATATG